CCAACTGCGCCACCTTGCAGCATATTGGACCCATTAAACCTAAAAGATAACATGTCTTATCTTGGTTGTTTGCATTTCCAAACAATAGTCTAGCCCTTAGCCACCTGTAATGTCACAGTATCACCTTTTCTGCAGCTGTTTCGTGGATATAACGTGTTATGAAGTGACATTTAGATAGGTGGGTTTATTAACACGGAATAGAGCCAGGCTAGTTATTTGCTCTTTAACCAATCGCTATGCTAAGCAGAGCTAGCCAGAAGCTGGTTATACACAGACAGTTAAAGCATCACCGGTCTTCTCATAACTCAGCAAGAAGCGAGCAAAAAGCATATTTGTCAATATCCCAAACTATTCCTGTAAATGTTAGGATTCAATTTGCTCTTTTGGCAAACTGAAAACAAAAGTCTGTGTAACTTGAGATTAATACGTCCTTAATCTTATCTTCAAAGTTATTATACACCGATCAGTCCCGACAATAAAAACCACCTGCCTTTTATTGTGTAGATCACCCTCGTGCTGCCAGAACAGCTCGGACCTGTCTGCGGATGGATGCGGGAACTCTAGGAGTGTCTTGTGATGTTTGGCAGTGGGATGTCAGCCGAGGATCCTTTGGGTCGTCGGGGTTGCAGGGTGGGGCGTCCATAGGTTGGGCTTGTTTCGACACATCACATGGATGAACGATCGTATTGGGATTTGGCCAGTTTGGAGGCCAGGCTAAAAAGTTGGGCTCTTTGTCGTGTTCCTTGTACCGTTTGCAACCATATTTGGTGGCTGGTATGTGTCAAACTGATTGGAAGCCTTGGACTGTCATAAGAAATAACAGAATTGGAAAACTTGTTTTACAATATATTACGTACAGTACTGGGCAGAATTTTAGGCAAAGTGACGATGGTTTCAAAAAAATAGGATGAATAGTTTTTATTTACCAATTAACTCCATAAGTGCAGCAAAAATCAGACTCGGATTGGTTCTGTCTCTGTGTTTGTGTCTCTTCGTGTAATCACTGACTGACTCCATGATGCTGAGATCAGGTGTCTGTGGGGATCAAGCCATCTGTTGCATGACTCTTTGTTGGCTCTTCACGGCTCTGACTGGATGTTTGGACCAATCGTGCTGCAGAATGATGTTTTTAACACCACCTTGGTGGCGCTGAGCGATGGATGAGAGTCTAAAGATCTAACGAGCTTAAATCTGTCGCTGTCTGTCTTTAACAAAACTGTTTTTTTTAGTTCTGTATCTATTTATTGTTCTGTGTGATGTGTTTGCGCTTTCAGACTCTCTCTGAAGACGTGGTGCTGTCAGATCTAAGACCTCAGCGTTGGTACCAGTTTAGAGTCGCAGCCATCAACAGTCACGGCAGCAGAGGTTTCACCACGCCCAGCAAACACTACATCTCCAGTAAAGGTAATGCAAACACTCTCTAAACGCATACTTGGGATCTCTTTAGAGAACTGTTATGAGTGTCCCAAAGAGGGCGATGATTCCTCCTGCATGTTTCCATAACCTACTTGTGAATTCTGATATTCTGTCATGAGACACTGAGCGAAACACAGATCCTGATTTTGTGTCATTTTATGAGAGATATTACACCACCCTGAGGAGCAGCTCGAAACCCAGGAACGTTTCCCTTCCTCTCCTTCTCTGGTCTTTCTCTCCTTTTCACTCAGAGTTGATGGATAAGGTACACGCAGCCGAAAAACTATCAGGCAGTCCATAAAACACAGACAGGAAACAGAAAATACACACAAGTGCACATGCACATATTTACTGTAAAGACACACACATACGTACTCGCTCAGTTGGTTTAGTGCCAGAGTGAAATCCCCGGTGTGGGTCAGAGAGACAGGGTTAAAGTGAGAGTAAGACAGTCTCACACACACACACACACACACACACACACACACACACACACACACACACTGTAGGAGGTCCTAGCTCTAATGCTTAGCAGACTTAGGTCATACTGGTGTTACGCCAGGATTGGCTAGTGATATGAATCCCCTGCCAGGATTGGCTAGAGCATGTTTGAATGTGAATAATGACTTCAGGTTGGACCAAGCTTTGGAAAAAGGTCCTTTATCAGTTGAACACTTATGGGAGATTATGAAGAGGTGTCTGAAATAACATTTTCCACCACTGCAACACAACACCAAATGGTGAAGTCCTTTACGCCTCCAACAGTTTTATAAACATTAGAACATGTGCCGTGGTTTACTGAAATTTCTTTGGTAGCTTTGGCGACCCATCAAGGTCTTAAATTAGGTTTCTCTGGGCCGCACATGGGCATAAATACGATATATGGTTGTCTGTGTTTCTTGTATGCTGTTACAGATGTAACGGGGTAAAAACACGTGTCCGCTTTGATGTTGTCACGTTTAGCAAACCACAATGTGAGGAACGAGTATAGATAGCACATGTCAGCTTCACCCCGATGGCAGAACAAATGAACGTCTGTATGTCTACATGTTAGTGTAAATGGATAAGACAATGAGAAAATCAGCGATGACATTAACTTCAAGAGTAGTTTCCTCTCATTTTGTGGCAGTACTATGAAACTAAAGAGAGAAGAAACGTACCCATGAGATATGAGATAAGCCGTTCAGCTTGCTTGAGAAGAATGTCCAACACACATTGTTGAGGTTTATGAGATCAGCTCGTCTGTTGGCTAAAATTTCCTTCTTTGCATAGGTGTTGCAAAAGAATAATTCCTGTTTAAGGCTACGGCCAGCAGCCAGTGTGCTGGTCTCAGCATACTATTTTGTGGTTTTATGTTTTTGTGTGTGTGTGTGTGTGTGTGTGTGTGTGTAGGACTATTGGCTGAGAGAAGGAACTCTTCTGAATTCTCTGCTGGGTGCTTTCTTTTGTATACGGAGGTGCTAGTTGGTGGATTTTGTAATTTCCAGACAGAGCCAGGCAAACTGTTTGTCCCCGTATGCTAAGCTAAGCTAACTGTCCAACCTAATGTACAACACACAGAGATTGCAGCAAGAGAATTTCCTTCTCTCTGCAAACAAACTAATAAGTGTAGATGCTAAAAATGTGGAATTATTCCTTTTACAACACTGAGTGTGTGCATGAGTGTATTTTGAGGGCCTGGGTTAAAGGTTAAAGACACACTTCAACATTCCAAATACCATCTGATCGCACTCAGAGTTTTGTGTTTCCAGTTCATTAGTCTGATTAGTCAGGGGCTGGGGGTCAGGGGGCACAAATCAGGAAGCTGGCAGATGTCAAGATGGTTGGAGTTCCTCCACTGTGACCTGATGCTAACCAGAGCGAGGATCTCAATCTGAAAACCCCTTTCCTGCTTATTGAGATATTAGGCTTGCACAGGACCTGCCAGCTGTAATTAGGAGGGAATGTCTGGTTCAGAAAACTCATCTTGATGTCTTCATCTCATGAAACAATGGACCAAAAAAACAAAAAAAAACTTGCTCATTTAGAGACACACGCTGAGAGAAAAAAGGCCTCATGAGAAGACCGTGTGTTTTGGCTCTGATCTGGCAATTACTGCTGGCACTGAGACACCCTACTTATAACAAAAAACACCACACACAAACAGGCCAGGTCTTGCAGCTCCCAATATGCTGCCCTAACTTTGATCTCTGCAGCTGGGTCAGCCAAGCACAGCCCGGGGCCTGTGGGAGGCCTGCCATGGGGGATGTAGTTCTAATCAGATGCATTTTGTAGTTTTAATCAAATACAGCATCGGGGTTTGGGCCTCTAATGAGATGCAGAGTCCGTGTTGAAAGACCGGCGACCTCAGGATTTCATTTAGGAGGCAAACAGTGACTAGTGGTGGTCGCCTTTGGTCTGTGTTGTGGTCGCTACTGAAATGGGCTTCAGGCTTTTTGAGCATCACTCACCTTTGATGCTGTAAATCTAATTGGCCCTGTGGACTTGAATAAGACCAAGAGGAAATTAGCCTTTCCCCCCCAGAATGGCGTCTTTCTCCGCTGCAGCGCGCTACATATCAAGTTATTAGACAATTCAGTCAAGCTGGTGAAAAGTCTCAACACTAATCAGGCTTCTGTAGATAAGGCTGGAAGTCTGAACATTTTTATATTGAAATTAGGATTTTTTTTCAATTTTAGTCATAAGTTACACAATTAATACGCTGTGACAAGACAACGTTTAAGCTTTCAACCAGCAAATACACTCACCTGTAAGTAGCTGACACAAATCTTGTGCAAACATCAAAAAGAAAGTCCGGTTAATGTGCTCTGCATGCTGGTCTGTTTGTTGGAGTTTCACTGAGGAGGATGCACACTTTGTACATGTGTGATGTTGAAAAGATTAGAAAGCAGCTGGTGTCTTTTTACAAGCTAATCAGTGTGATGAGAGAGTTGAAGTCAGAGAAAAATAAACAGATGTTCACATATTTTTCATGATCATTTTTAACAAGCTGCTATTTTTAAGACACAATTTTTTGTTTTAAGCAAAAAAAATAAAATGTCTTCAGGGGATCTCTAAGTATGCTACAAAAATATATATTTAAAGATGTGAGCTAAAGAATTCACTTCTAAAAAAGGAAGTAGACAAATTTATTTAGTAGTTAACTTTTTTTTAAATAACTGGTAAAAACAATCCATTTGAGTTTCTAAAGTTTTAAATTATGAAAGTGCTAACCAAGACATTCTGTTAAATATTTTGTGAAACTGCAAAATCAATTTATAGAAAATACATTTTTAATCACATGTGCAGCATTTTTTTTGTTAAAGTTTATTTGTTTAGGGGCAAGTATGCAGTATGAACCAATGGCACACATATGTTCATCTATTTTTCCGCCCCAACATGAGCTCCCAAAACACATGAATCCAGTGACACATACTAAACGAAACTCAACAATAAATGCATAAATTAAAAACACAAAACTCAGAAGCAACAGATCAAACGTGACCCAATAGCTGATCTGTCTCAAAAAACTGAGTTTAAAATGTTCCCAGTTACCGTCTACTTTGAGTTCTTTTGGTAAAAACTTCCACATGTTGATGTCCCGGGCTGAAAAGCTGTTTGACCAAATGAAAGTTTACATAAGGGCACCTTACAATTACCGCTGGATAGTCCTCATGTTATTGAGCCTGAATGTCTGAGAGGAACCAGCAGACCACTGAGCACCTAAAGAAACCTGAATACGAAGGCACTTGTAGATGACTTTAGGGTTCATGAAATGATGAAAACCCAACGTGTTAGAAACATGGCAGTGATGTGATCTTCTTTGCTTCCTTTCCAACATTTTAATTACTCGACTGCATAACATCATGAGAGGCTCGATTGTTGTAGATGAAAGTAAATGTTCATTATTCTTCAGATCACCGTATCTCCAAATGAATTAATTCCTTCGTTACTTGAGAAGAAGTTGCTGACCAGTCACAAACCTTAAATGTTCTGATAATAACATCATGGGGCCGATGACATTTTTGATAATGGTGATATTTTCTGACATCGTACTTTTCTCTCTGCAGACCCTTCACCTCCAGAACCTCCGATAAACGTCAGAGTCAGCAACCAGACTCTAGACCGGACGAGTTCACAACCTGCGTCCCAGTTCACAGAAAGGTATCTAAAGATCTAGACAGAGGAACCGTTATTTGTCTGTACCACGTAGTTGTTTTGCACCTTTTCAGCCCTGCACGCTGCAGAATCAGTCACAGGCTGTGGTCAGGTGGATAAGCAGGTCTTGTCTGATTGTGTATAAGGATGTAAATTACAGCTCATCCTTGTTCAATTACACGCTGCAGTATGTTTTCTATTTGCATGCTGTACAACGAGGCCATGTAAAGTTCAGACCAATGTCTTGGATCAACACAGATATTCCAATAACATTTAATAACAGAGGTGATGACTCAAATTGCAGCTTCTGTTCCGCATGATATAAAGTGTCTGAACCTCTACCATGCATACATGAAGTAAATGGAGGATTGCAAACCCAACCCTGAGAGCAGCTGACAATTAAGTAGAAAATCTGTTTCACTGCTGCACCGCAGAACCTGCACAATAACAATCACTTCTTGGTACGACTGTTAAGGAAGCAGCATCACCATGAATTTGTTTACATTCGTGTTGTGATGTCGTCTGACTTGTGGCTTTCTCTCGTCAGGTCCAGGGGAAGCGGGGTCACCGTTGCGGTCTTATTACGCTGGGAGCCCCCCAGGGAGGGGGACCTCCCGGTCCACAACTACAGAATCACCTGGCTGTCTCGACATACACACACAGCGCACAAGCACACGCACACACTGCAAGCTCATCCAGTGCTCAACAACATGCACACGCGAGCTACACACTCACGCACAGCAGAGCAGGCCAGAAAGGAGAGCAACAGTAAAGTGACTCAAGGGGTAAGGAAAGCTTTATATACGCTTATCTACACCACATAAAAGATTATTGCCATTATGTTGTCCTCTCTTGCATGATGATAATGTTTTGAGAACACAATACCTTAACTTCAGTATTTAAAATTGCTTGATAATTGTATAACGCCAAACTTATTTCTCTACTGGAAAGCACTTTGGGTCAACGGCTGTTGTTCACTCGACTTTCTTCATGATGAACTAAAATTGTAAATTAAGTCTCATCACAGTGTGTACATGGTAACGGTTCATGACCTTAGTCAGCTGATGAAGCTTCCTCAGTTGTCCTGGAATTTTAAATCTTTGTTTTTCTATTTTTCTGAGAACATGTTGGTGTTAAAGCTGAAAAAAAATCTGAAAATTGCATCTGTTGATGAAGATCGTGTGTCAAAGGCCTGTCATGCAGATTTGCAGTGTTTCAAAGGCAACGACACACACTGACACACCTTTACGCTCGCTACACACTGTGTGACTTTCGGCCGTCCCAGACGAAAGATAACAATCGTGAGAGAATCGTGGCGATATCTTTGGTCTTGACTCTAAATCGATGGTCCTACGTCGCGCTGTGAGGCAGGTTCAAGGACGGCTGTTGTCGTGGCCTTGTGACCAAAGACAACCTGCCATAAAATTCTGACAGTGTCAAACATTTGGGGTGATCATCTCACAGTGTGGCTGCTGCTGCTGCCTACGTCAATAGAAATGCAGCATGACATGACGTACTGATCAGCGCGACACTGATGCTAAACCCAAATGAATAAATAAATCTTTCTGAGCCACGATTTCTCTCCAGACAAATAAATACCACAAAGGCTCCGTTCACGCTTCGCTAGTTTCTTTTCCGTGGATGGATGGCGCACACTTTTACTTACTTACTTACTTTTCCCGTTAACGTCTGTTGGGACACTAACAGTGTGTCAGACGATGCACGGTCGCCATTTATCCCTATGGAGGGCATCATCAGGGGTTAGCCCCCAATCCGCTAGGTCCCCTGACACCAGCTCCTCCCATGTTTTCCGGGGTCTCCCCCTCTTTGTTTTTCCGGCAACATCCAAGTTCCTGATTTTGTTGATGAACTGAGTACTACGGTGGACATGTCCGAACCATCTTAGACGGCGGTACCGGATCTCTGTATGAAGATCAACGAGGCCTAATTTCATACGACGCTCTCTTGAGCTGATGTGCATCAGGCTTGATGTGGTACATCCATCTCAGCATGGATCTCTCATTCCACTCCAGGCGACTTAGATCTTCTTTCCTTAGAGGCCAGCACTCGCAGGCATACAGCATGGTCAGTGTTGTATGCGCAGCCACGGACACCGGGTGATATGGACCTTGATGACAGTTCTTTGAATTTCTTCCAGGCCGATCTGGTTCTAGTGATAGTGGCAGGATCACAGCCACCTCCAGCACATAAATTGTCTCCAATATAACAAAAGGAGTCAACAGTTTCGAGCCAATAGCCACTCGACTGCACTGATTGCCAACAATAGGGCGCTTTGCCATCGCTTATGACGCTTTACTCTTGAGCATTCACGTGGACTCACGTACATTGTAGGCTGCGGTTCAGCTTGTGTTTTCCTCATGCAATCGAACTTCATGTCGTTTCCAAAGTTTATTAGATTCATGTCTTACAGTGTAGCTAGCTGAGATCTATAAGATTTTTAAAATGGCACAGTTTGTAGCCGGCCGTACCTTCATTGTTCTGAAGACCTGCAAGTTATCAGCTGTAGCTCCAACCATAAGCCTAATATCAGCGTAATGCGAGAGTCGAGCTTTTTTTCTAAATGCTGTGGATGTGTCGTCACATTGATGTTTTCTTGTCTGTTTGCATGTTTTTATAAGTCCCAGTGTGTTGAGCTCCAACGGTCACCGTAAAAATGCATAAGCTCCTCTCAGTCCAGTCTGTCGGACTTCATTTACACTGTTCCCTACACAATCTGGAGTCCAACAACACACACACACACACACACACACACACAGCACATACATAGGATCTATAGCTGCACCTGAGAAGTTTTACTAGGTCTGTAAACGCACACACCTCACACACTCACAAACACACCCACACCTACATTCCTCGCTGTATTCTGCTTGTGATTACTACGGTCATTTTACAGGCCCACGCACAACCAGGACACGTTTTGTAAACAGCTCCTGTGTGCGAGCGGTGGTGCAAACTGCAACGAAGCGTTTAAAAATGCATGTCGTAAAGAGCAGCATATGTTTGAGTTACTGCGTTATGAAATTCAACAGGAAGCAACACACGCCGCAGGAACGGATCCGATTTAACACTCCGTTATATTCATTCTTACGTTTCGACATAAAGAATCCTCCATAATAATAATAATAAAACAATATCCTGATGAACCCCCTGTGGCCAATAAATAATCCTGGTAATGGCGGTGAGGTGGAGAGACGGAGGAGCTGCTCAGGCATCTCGATTCAGGATGTGGATTTAAATAAGTGGACTTGCTGTTCTGTGTTACAGGCCGACTTCATGTAGAACTTACAGACCTCTGGAGTTGTTCAAGCTGTAACTTATAGATATTTTCAGCTTCTTATGTATGGTTTTGTAATGCTACACGTAGACATATTTAAACAACCTCACATCTGCACAGCTTCAGATCTGGTTTTGACATTTTCACCCTCAAATTGTTGTTCGGGATGCGTTTCCATTACTGGACTCTTCTGTTCCACGTGGATCTGAAATATCGTCCTCAGACATACACAACATTATCTTAGTGGAACATAACTTTGTTAGGAGCGCCGCGGCAACATAAAGGGCTGCCTGCACAGCGCCGAAATAACGTGACAACCTAACCGTGTAGATTGACTGACAACAGAGAGAAGTGGCTCTGCTGCATTTGGATAATGGGTTTAACTCAAGTCAAAGCATCTGGGAATGTACTGACAATATGCCACTCACTGCAGCATGAGGGCATTAGCCACTGAGCGTATCAGCTATCAAGGCTGCAGAGCACAGGATCTGCATGTGTTGTATGATGGATATTTAGATGTTGAAAGAAAAAGACACTGACATGAAGTTATTTTACAAAAGTGAGTCTCACTGTTGCTCAACTCAGCTGCAAACTTCTAAAAGTTTCGATGTGTTGTTAAAATTATATTTAATGCAGCAGTAATACTTAAAAGGTCCACGTTGTTACCCTGATTATAGGTGTGATGATGATGCAATACGTTGGCAATGCGGCTTAAGTCCAGCCAGCAGCACCGAAACACCCGTAATCACAGTAAACAACACAAACACACATTACAGCTTTGACGCAACAGGTATGATTGCCGATGTCCTGACCGAACCTTTCTTTTCCTCAAATTAGTAAACGACGGATGATTTTTCTGCACAGGACTCTTCAGTTTCTTTCCTTAAAGTAAAATGTGTAGTTCAAGGAAAAAAAAGAACAAGCTGAAGCATAAACATCAGCGTTTCGGGGCTGAAATGCAGCCGCTCTCATATGGACCCAGCCATCCTAAGTAGTGATGGCGATCCCAGACTGAGCCTGGTGGAGCCATTTATCTGTAGTCTGGTCCTCTGTTCTGCTTGGCTGGGAGGTCTGGAATTTAAATGAGCCCCCCTAACTAGTGTTTCCTACTCGCAGCTGCATCTACACACACAAAAGAGCAGCATCACAACAGGTAGGAAGGAACCTGAATACAACATCTTCCAGGTGTGAAATTTATCTCATATCACGCACAGCATTGATATTTCATCGCTCCCCATTAGCACGACATCACACGCTCCCTAGATGTGTGTAAAACTCACATCCTGTCAATCAGGAATTTATGCAGGACCGGAGAAATTCAGCATTAAACCTGATGGTAAAGGGGGAATTCAGAGGAAGTATTCCAACGTGAAAAAAACCCCCTGCTGAGTCAGTGCTTTTAAATATACATCAGTTTCTTACATATAATGTCAACTGACATTATTCACCAAAATAGAAATCCAGGCTTCCCTCGCTCTCTCTGTTTCACACACAAACACACACACACACACACACACACACACACACACACACACACACACAGCTGTACAGGCCATATGTTTTGTCTATCTTCAGGGTAATGGAAATACTTTTACCCCATTTTGTCTGTAGGTCACCGAGACGCTGCTTTTAACTTGCTTTTGTCTCGTTCTGTCTTAAGTGTACACACATAGAGAGCCACACACACGCAGGCTTGTTATCATCCGAGCATCTCTTTGTTGTGACTAGTTTAGATCCACGCAGACAGACAGAGCTGATTGACTAAGAGCCTGTTAATGAGCTGTCAGTCAAGCAGAGGGCTAATGCAGAACAGGTCTGCAGTCACGAGGCGCTCGGGCTGATGACGATGCAGACTCTATTGACAGTGAAGATGAGGGAGATGGTGGCGGTCGCTGCGGTTTCATAATGATGCGACAAAGATAGAAGCTTTTCTTGAACTTTGTCAAATAGTTGGTCCTGAATCTAAAGACGTTTTACAAACAACTTCACCACAGTTGTTGGTGTCATTGAAAACAAATGAAGCTGATTTAGTTTGAGACACAGCTGAGGGCGAAAGACAAATAAGGAAGAGAAGCTGTGTTTGTAAAATCCTGTTCTTTCATGTGTTTTAGGCGCAGTGTGAGCTATGGCTGCAGGGCCTGCTGCCGGCGACCTCCTACATCCTCTCCGTCCAGACGGTGGCCTACTGGGGTCAGAAGAGACTGAAGAGTCACAGAGTCCAACTTGTTTTCACTACCATCACTCATACAGGTAAGGAAATACCTGTAACTTCTCCACAGGTGATATGACCTCAGATCTGTACTATAGGAATATGTACAGTGCAGTTTGGATATTTGACTGTGCACACGCATTTCAGTGCAAGTTTCCCATCAGTTGAATATGATTTGAAATTTGCAAACACGCTTCTTTGGTTTCTTGCAGGAGTTAGATGAGAAGATTGATACCACTCTCATTTCTAAAACATGAGACTACTGTCAGTAACAGTCAGGCCACCTCCTCAGATGTCATTTCTCATTTAATTAATTTGTTTAAATTTGTTTAAATCCATTGTGTGATTGTAACCTCCTGTATTCTCTTACTTTTAGCAAGAAACTGAATAAGCATATTTCAAACGTTTTCTTTAATTGTACTTAAGCGTTGCTGTGCTTTATAGACGTAGATTTTTATATATGGTGGAAATTAAGCATCGGAGGTACATCGCTGCACTTTGCACCTTTTTTTTTCTCTCACAGCTGCAGTTCATTTTCAGTAATTAATTGTGGGTGCAAAGTTTGTGATGTCACATTGCATCGATCCAAGCCACTCCCCTCAACAGTTTGCATGAGTTTATTTTATTAGAATTGATGCTTGTGTAAAGAAAGAAATGCCGAAGAAGCCCCAGACAGCCAACAGAATTTGTGCAGTTTTGACTTGTAGGAATACCATTCTGGAGTACAGCTAACAGTAAGAGGTGCTCAGTGAATTCAGATTTCTTGGCCAAGTCGTGTAAACTACTAAAACTTAGGGACTCCTCTGGCAGCCAGGGAGCCCGATCCCAAATAGTACTTATTAAGCACTTATTTTGAACATTTCATTAACTTGTCATGACATTAATAAATACTGTTTATATAGCACAGTCCACAGCACCTTTTAGTTAGCAGAGTCATACATTACTGAGCTAATGATTTTCCTGTTAGGGTTAGAGCTGCTGCATTTGCTGACTGTCAGCATATTCTGTCTACCGGCAGCTGCACTGTTTAAACACACAGAAACACCGAGTATCGTGGAAAGTGGCGATGTAAATGGTCGTCCAGGCAACGAGGTATTTATAGGTGACCTATCGGTCAGCCCGCAGAGGATTATGGCCAGCTGCAGCTCAATTACCAAACCGCATACCAGCATCTTTATATGGAACACATTGTCATCTATAATTCAGGAGAATTAATATTTCACACAGTCTGTGTATTGGCCTTTAACTCAGTGCTAATGAGGGTCCGTTAACGCATATAAAGCCAATTAATGTTTCTGTGTTAATGAAGAAACAGGAACGCTAGCTAGCAGCTGCACGACCATTAGCAGTTTATATCTCTGGTGCAGTATAATTATGAATTCATGTGCTGTGTAACAGGTCTCATGTACTCAACACACACACATACCGACAGGTGACAAATTAAAGGAAAAACCAACATGAAGTGTTTTTCTAAGGTGTTGGTCCACCAGTTGCTGCCAAAACAGTTTCAGTGCACATTGCCATTTATTCTGCAAGTGTCTGGAACTGCACTGGAAGGATAAACACCATTCTTCCAGAAGATATTCCATCATTTGGTGTTTTGATGATGGCAGTGGAGAGCGCTGTCTGACACCTCGGCCCAGCGTCTCTGATAGGTGTTGTGCTGAAGGCCAGAGCATGGGATTCATATCATGTTCATTCTCATCAAACCATCTGGTGAATGTGGGCATTGTAACTCTGGAGCAGACCACTCATCAGGATGTTTAATCACGACATGAATGTGACCACTCGACACCTTTATTAATGAGCAGTGACGCTTCCTTCTGAAGGCTCAGAGGAATAACAAAGTAGAGCGGAGCCACTGGATCCCGTCATCGTGGGCAGCGAGGGTTCATGTTTTTCCTTTAATTTGTCACCTGTCTGTGTGTAATAGTAAACATCATTTTGATTAATAGATAATCTGCCTTACCCTGTTTGCTTATGTAGTTACGGTTGATGAGCGGATTTTGATTAAAATGGTTAAGACGGTGAACATCTCACCTGCATCTGGTTTTTAGGTTTGTTTATGGGTCTGTTAAAGGTATTTTGCTTATAAAAAACGTGGAATGAACCAGGTTTGTTATTAATGAGCTTTGAAATTACGGCTATTTTTATTTTGTGCTGCCTTGTTTGTTATCGCTCCAACTAAAGGCCTTCAAATCAGCCAAGTTGTAAAGTTTTAAAATGTGCTGCTTTCCCTCTCTTTCTCTCCCCTCTGTCTGACTCCATGAAAGGCGAAGACTTCTCCAACGAGCTCCCCTCCTCTTCATCTTCATCGTCACTTCCCTCTTCTCCTTCTCTCTCATCCTCCTCGCCTTCCTCCTCTGACCTCTCCATCTCCTCCTCCGGGCCTCACCCTGAATCCCCCCTCAACCCCGTCGCCCCCGGAAACCTGCGGCTGGAGGTCGCTGCCCCTCATTACCATGACAACCAGCTGCAAGTGAAGGTGTTCTGGAAATGGCCGTACCATGGTGAGTTGGTTTTGAAACACGAAACGACCGAGCAGAACGCCAGGAAGGAATGAAAAATATTGAGGGCGAGCAAGGCACTTTCTGACCAGGAGCAATCCGCGGTTCGCTGTCTTGCTTAAGGCCACTCAGACAAGAAGTGCTGTAGGTCAGAAGATTAAACTGCGATTAACGGACACTTGGCTCTGCTCTCTGTGCTTAACACCAGTCAGCCACAACACTGAAACCATCTGCCTAATACTGTCTAGATCAACCTCATGTTGGCAAAACAGGTGTGACCTGTGGAGGACTGGACTCCACAGACCTCTGAAGGTGTCCTGATGTCAGGCAGCGAGATCTTAGCAGCACATGGATCCTTTACATCATCATCAGAGGTTGCAAGGTGTGGCCTCCATGAGTCAGAAGTGTTTTATAGGACATCCCACAGATCAACCCGTCAGATTATCCATCCATCCATCCATCATCTATACACCGCTTCATCCTCACCAGGGTCATGGGGGGCTGGAGCCTATCCCAGCTGACTCAGGGTGAAGGCAGGTTCACCTGGACAGGTAACCAGTCTATCACAGGGCTACACTTAGAGACAGACAACCAAGCACACTCACATTCACACCTACGGACAATTTACAATCACCAATTAACCTCAACATGTTTCTGGACTGTGGGAGGAAGCCGGAGAACCCGGAGAGAACCCACGCTGCACGGGGAGAACATGGAGACTCCACGCAGAAAGATCCCGGGTGTCCTCACCGGGACGCAAACTGGTGACTTTCTAGCTGTGAGGCAACAGTGCTTCCAACTGCACCACCCTGCAGCCCCCATCAGATTATGCCATGGAGAATTTGGAGGCCAAATACACACCTTGAACTCTTTATTCTCAACTGAAGAACTGATACCTCACTTGTTGCCTAATAGTTCCCACCCCTTGACAGGCGGCATTTTAACGAGATAATCAAAATATCAGTGGTTTTATCGTGGTGGCTGATTGGTGTAAGCGAGGTGTGTCAAAAAAGTTCCAGGACTGGTGTCACAAAAGATAGATTTCAAATCCAGACTACAAACTACCAGTCTTCTCCTTCCACGTAACCCTCCTGGAGTCTACCACCCTCCTCCAGCCTTCTCTTCACGCCGCCATGCACTCCTGGAAGGATTCTTCAGGATCCTCTGCAGCTCCGTCCTCACAGCCATCTTGATGTCGTCCACGTCTTCTAAACGGGTCTCCTTGATGACCCCCTTGAGCTTGGGGAAGAGGAAACAACCCCACGGAGCCAGGTGGGGTGAGTAGGGAGGTTGCTCCAGCACAGAGATGTTCTTCTCAGCCAGGAGCTGTGGGATGCTCAGGGCGCTGTGAGCAGGTTGTCATGGTGAAGCAGCCTCCACTGGTCCTGACACAACTCTGCCTCTTCTCTGGACGAAGCAAACGCTGCAGGATCTCTTTGTAGATGTGCTGGTTGATCGTCTGGAGGGGGAAACTGGTAGTTTGTAGTTTGGATTTGAAATATATCTTGTGTGACACCAGTCCTGGAACTTTTCTGACACACTTTGTATGTCTATGTTTGAGAAGAGATTGTTTTGTTAAAAATACTTAGACAAGCAGACCAAAAACATAAATATAACACAGTACTTGCATTGCAGTCATAATTGATAACAAGGAAAAAGGAGATAATGCAAAATTGCAAATATAGACTCCTTCAAACCTTGTAATTCATCTTCACACATAAACACAGGTTGTGTAGCGTGTGTCTGATCCCTCTTTGCTTTTTTTTCCAGTTGCACCCAGACAGAGACCCCCTGGTCCATATGTTCTGCGATGGCGTCCACATACCTGCAGCACGAATGTGACGAGCACAGAGAGAACAACAACAGTGCAGGTAATGCTGCTTTGGCAGAATTTGTGGGTTCATGAAATAGTATAAAGACGTCTTATTACTCTCTAAGTGTTGCTGGTGTGTGTGTGTGTGTGTGTGTAACAGAGCTCAGATTTCATCACAGTAGTTCAGATCAGTGTGTGATGCTGTAATCTGCTGTCTGTGTGTAGCTTTGTCTGCCGTCCTCTCTGTCTCTGTGCACCATCACATTTCCTATAGTTCTGTCAAACCTGCGGCTAAAGTACGTTTCTATACACGTCTGTGTGTTTGATGCTACGTGTTGTATTTAGTTTCTTAAACAAGTATTCTATATCATGTTTTAAGTAAAGTAATGCAAAAAGAAACATGCACTTTTTAATTTTACCATTAAGATTTACGTTTGCTGAGGTGTTTTTGGCTCGTCTTGCTGGAGAAAGTAATGCAACCTGTACAACAACTTTATAAACAGACTTTCACAGTGTTTTTTTCACACAACACTATAATACATGAGTTTGTACAGGTGTGCCTGATGAATTGGTAAATCATCGTATGTCAACATTTGACAGGACAAAAGAATCTGCTGCAGAATCATCTCAGCAATAATGAGTAACCATTAAATGTGTTACCAAAGCTAACATAGAGAAGTCTTATAACAGTAGCACTGCGCACATGTTTGACATAAAATAAAACTGTTCTAAGTCCAAGTCACAAATTGGAGCTGCGGCAGAAAAAAACAGAGCGAATGATGTTCTGTACGTTGTTTGCATCAAGTGAAAACTGGACTCACCAGCATCAGATCTTTAGCTAATATTGTCCCAGTGTTCACCTCTTAACCAAAATGATCACAGATGCGGTGGCTTGATAAATATCAAAGTGCTGTGTGCAATTTGCTGAGGTCACAGAACACGATCTTCTGTTCATTGAAGGTCAGGCTTTTTTAAACAGTTGCAGCGTTTCTCGCTATTTGAAGCTGCCAACCTGCAAAAGCTGCCAGACTGCGGTGTTTATTTTAACATGGAGCTAACAAGCTGCTTATATGAGACAGGTGCCGAGAGAGAAAATAGAGGTAATATGTATATTTTGAGAAACCTTGTAAAAGGTCAGTTTTAACAACCAGTCATGTACAGTTTACACCACAATGTCATTTTTTAAAATCACTGGCTTCACTTAATTTTCCCTCTCTCCAGGGCACCCATCACACCATTACAGGCCTGCTGTTTGCCTGTAAGTACCGGGTCGCCGTGGCGATGAAGGCTGACCCAGGGTCAGAGGCTGTTGCCTGGGTTACGACCCCGACTTGCTCCTCCATCAGGGTCAGAGGAGGCAAAGCTTTGCCCTGCAACAATGAGGGTAGGAGTAACCAAACACAGATGTAAAGGCAGAGTTAGTTAATCATGTAACCCCTTAGTGACGGCTGGTAAAAGTAACTCTGGGAAGTGGTCGGTACAATTTCAGGTCACAAGATAACTTAAACATTTCGTACACTCCTGCATGCAAACTTAAACGCTGTATTACCACAACATTCTGGTAGCTTAGCAACAACCTTTTTGTTTTATGCACACTGTTTTCCTAATTAATGACTTCTAATATATGTCACTATGATCAGACTTAGATGACATTAAATAAGTGTCGTTTTAAAACCCTGTGTGAAATAGTTTAAACAAGTCTTCTGTGATCGGTGACAGAAATTCTGTTTTTTTTGCTTTGTTTGTGTCAGAGCGCCTCCTGGCAGGCAGAAAGGTGGTACTGCGTCCAGAGCGGCTCACTGCGGACTTTCAGCAAGTCAACGGCTCCCTGCTCACTACGTTTCGCTGGAGGATGTCCCAGCATGCACTGGACCCGGCAGCTGTCGAGGGGTTCCAGTTCACCTGGACGCTGCAGTCAGAGGTTGCTGCGGCAACGGAGGGACGGGAAGACACGCTTATCTCCCAGACACAGACAATTGCACCGGTGAGACAAAGAAAGTGGTTTACAGTGACAGCATTGTGTCGTGCAGCCGGCAGCGGGAGGAAGGTGTGCTCAGAAATATGAGAGGGATAATGTGTGGGTGTGTTAGTGTGAGTAGGTGTGTATGTGCATGTGTCTTACAGTGGTGGACGTTGAGTCAGGACGTGTTTTTAATATCAAGTTTTAAGAGCTTCAGTAAAAAGCAGCTGGACTTCTCTTTTTGGGTCTGGAAGACGTTTCATTGCTGAACTGAAGAAACTCTTTTCTTTCTTTTCACAATGTGAGTCGAAGAGTTAACAAAGGGTTCAAATTATCAAGGAAACTAAAAAATATATGACAAATTTATTGACGTTAGGTAAAAGTAGTAAAAAGGACATGTTGGTACATGATAATTAATAAGTGTGCTGATATTATATATTCTCTTACAATCTTCAACGCACTAACAAATATCCTAATAACAAAGTTGTGGTGTTGCCAGAGCCAGATTTAACTTCTTCCTTTGTGCCACAGAGTCCATTTTTGTCCAAATACGATGAACAACCAATCTGTGAACCACCATGCAGTGTATTTTCAGTCCTTCTCTTTCTGCTAGCTGAACCACAAACAGGCCAAGAGAGACAGACAAAAATGTGGAATATCTCCAGCCTCTGCTTTAATTTTCATCATTTCATCTCATTATTTATATACTTAGTGTATGTGTGTGTGTAAACTTACCCTTCTTCACCCTCCACAGTCTGAGCGGTCGGTGACCGTTCACGGTCTTCAGGGCGACAGTGTTTACCAGCTGCAGCTCCAGGTGCTAACAGCAGGGGGAAGCAGTGGCGCTGCAGTCTCCAAGACCATCCATACTCCACCAATCAACACCACCCTCTGATAGGTAATAGCACTCAGTCATAAACACGAGACATTTTTTTACCTTGACGAAAACCACATTGTCAAATAATTGTGAATGTGTGCGCCCTCTGTTCACCTCATCTTATTGATCTTCTCTTCCAGGCCCCGACTGCAAAGCTGCCTCTGTCTGCTGCACCACAATCATCTTCAGAAACATCCACTTTTATAACGTCTTTCTCTGTGCAGCAGAGTTTCAGTGCAGCTCAGGTGCAAAAAAACATGACTAAAGCTGCAAAATAAAGAAAGCTCCTCCGTGTGAAGTATGTTTTCACATGAAATGTATTTTCCACTTTGATTGTGTTATTTCTCTTTCACTTAAATCACTTTTCAGACATCACAAAGGTTGTGAGCTCATTCTAATGGAAAGAAATAATTTGTATCTCGGTCATTAATCTGTCAGCTGACTCAAGGGTAATCGCCTTAGTCATTATTGTTTTGTAAAAAGTGTAAACCTAAGTGTACCTGTGATGCCAATTTTAAAAGCACTAACAGCTGGTCTTGGCAGTGAAAACCATATCCCTACTTTTCATTAAAATGGCCGCGTTTCCCAAATGAATCATCGTGACATCATTGGTTCCTGCATCGCAAGACATGTATGTGAAAAGTGAGACTTTTGCACGGCTGCATCTGTACATGTTTGGTGTTTAGATGGAATTTAAAAAGTCTGAGCACCTCACATCACTAGAGCCAAATGACTTTTGTAAAAAGACTTATTATGCCTGTTGTTTTTGATTATGCTAGTAGAGACTAATATAGCACTGACCTTATGTACAAATAGAAATATAGCAACAGACTGACTGTTTATTTGAATGCACGATCTGCTGCATTATCTTTGAAGCTAGTGGGTGTGACTTGGTATGCTGAAATCTTGTTGTAAGCTCATATATTTTAATATTTTGTTCATATGTTTAAATTTTTTTTTTTTTACTCAAATATGTCTAAATTTGCTTGTTTTTTTATACATTGCAGGCTATCTGCAGATTCATTTGACATAACGGTACACCCATTTCACTCAGCAACGATATGTGACACATTCACACAGTTAATATACCTGTGGTAGACTTCTTTGTTTTACAAATGTCCCATCATTGCTTCAAAGAGGCTGGAAGCTACTGGTGTCATACAACCAGTAATTACCGTGTTAATATTCTCTTTTTGTAACCGTTTACTGTTAATAATTTTGTAGTTAATTCCATTACTTCATAACTGTTAGTTTTATTTATTGTTTTTCTGCCCTAGATTTTTTTTTGTAATTAAAGGTTATCAAGACATGCTGTGTGTTGTGTCATTGATGTGCCTAGAAACTGATTAAAAACAGAAATACTGTCAAGAAAATACGTTCCAGTTAAGTTTATTTACTGTTGCAGCACTGATTTATTCATGTCAAATAAAAGTAAGCTTAAAAATTAAATCGGGAGATTGCTGCAGATTTTAATGTCTTTAAAAAGTCCAGATTTTAGGAACGCTACTGCCATGTCTTACGGCTGGATGCTAATCGAAGTAGGAAGATAAAACCAAGGCACTGAACCTGAGGTGACTTCGGCAAGTTCCGGAGGCAGCCGAAGATGAGCCCGACGCCGTGACGTAATCAATGAGCGACGATAGCTTGGATTGTTGTTTCTTCAAATCGTGGCCAGACGGAATTCAGTTTGTAATTTCATTGACAAGGTAGTGTGCAATGATGCTTCTTTCAACATTTTGATACGCTTTTAGCTCGTTCAAATCATAAATTCTTCGAGCACTGTGTCGAAGCTCTTTCTTGGTGTTTGGACGCCTCCAACTTCCTACTGAAAATGGAGGAAATGTGTGTTGTCGCTGCTTTGTGTTTTCGCCTGTGTTTTGGCTGCAGCAAGCTAACTTAGCTAGCTCTCGGGGAATGACTAACTTATGCATAACTTTGTAAAATGCCATATTAAACATTTTACACTCAGTTAAATCATCTGAAGGTACGTTATATTCCTGCATGGTGGCTGGATATGCTCCGTTTGTCCGCTGCCAATTGTCACATTACCACAACTAACGAGGTAGTTTTCAATTAACTGCACAACTTTATTGAACGCGCTAATTCTCGCTGCCACTGACGTTTGCTAATGACTCATTGGAGCGCAGAAGTTAACATTTAGCAGCTCGGGAATTTTAAAATTCAGCTGCTATGTTGCTAACGTTAGCTCAGTGTGAGCCTCGTCTTTGAAACAAGAAACATTTCTTTTGAAAAAACGTCACTTCTAAGAAAGGAGAAGCACGAAATGTCAGTCAGATGTTTACTGTCGCGGTTCGTGTGTGCATAAATTGACAGTTTCGCGTTAAAACAAGAAATAAATCATATTTGAGCTGTGAACCACCTGTTAATGAAGGCTAAGGTTCTTCAGTGTTTAATTAGCGAGTAGTTCCGAGGAGAACGAGGCGTGGATTAAAGTGACATTTCATTTTAACTAATACATGCATGTTGTTTTTGTAGTTTTGCACAAGACTGATGCACTTGTTGAATTTTAATTGTTTTTGTCGTAGAGGAATGAACTAGTGTCATCTTTAGACTTAATTTGGGACCTGCTGTGATGTTTACATGTGCCTGGACGGTTTCTGATTCACATTCAGATACAACTTACATTCACTGCACTTCAGTCAAGCTGAACTTTATTACCAGGTCCATATAACAAGGAATGCACAGCAGAGTGGAATTCTAGCTCAATGATTGACATGAGTGACGCAAACTAAGACATAAATATAAAACAACAAATCTCGGACTAATAGATGATTATGATCGCTTGCTTACTGTACAATATGATGGTATGTGTTAAAATAGTGACATTAACTGCAAAATCAGCCTTAAACGTAGTCGACACAGTCAAGAGAAATGGGAGATGTTATACTTGAAATCTCATCTGCAGCTAACATATGTCCTGTTCAGTGATCTGCATTTGCATTGTTGATATTTTGTGAATCCAGGATGAAGCCCTCACATTTCAACTAACTGTCTTTCATTGTTTTTTCTCTCTTCTTCTTCATCTGTCGCATCCTGCACTTGCTTTAATTAGGAGATCATGATGGTCCGACTCTAACACTGAGGAACACTTGAAACCAGCCATGCTCTAGTCTGACTGTCATCAATAATTTCAATGGTGGGAAAGACTTGAGAGCAGCTACTTTTCTACATAGCAAAGGTGCTTCCTGAAGAATTCTGGAGGGACGTGTGATTACAAAAACGAAGGAAAAACACGCCACAGTGTTTACAGTTTAGCAGACCAAAGGAGAGGAGAGGACAGGCGTGCAGAGAGGAGGGTGTTGGGGATGGGGTTGAAGAGCCAAAGGAGGACGTCATGGTTCACAGCGGCTCTGCTTCCCCAATGAAAACAACACCGTCAGCATCGCCTGATTTAACTGTTCCCGCTACAGCACCACCTCTAGTGCCTCCCCCTGGATGTACTACAGATCAAGACCTGACCGAGAGCTCCACCAAACTCCTCACCGCAGACCTTACCTCCAACTCTGATTTGGCTCAGCCCTCTACTCCGACTGCTGATGATGCAGAGCCCCCTGTTATAGCCACAGCAAAAGCACTAAGCACTAACTCAAGTCCAGTGTTAGACTGGTCCTCTGCTCCAGCACCAAACCCTGCTCAGGGCCCCATCAATGGCCGTACATCTGGCAGGAAGAGGACTCCTAAAGCCTGTGACTGCTGTGGCCCCAACAGTACGGGACACAATGTCAGAACCTCGGGCAGAGGGAAGGGACGAGGGAGAGGGAGAGGGAGGGGGGCTTATAAGGACCTTGGGGACACCCCAAGAAGAAAAGTGGGCCAGTTGACGCGTATCAAGAGCTTTGATTTGACCAAGGAGCAAGTAGAGGAAGCAGAGGAAGAAGATGAGGTGTATGAGAAGGTGGAAATGTCTGTAGCAGTGGCTGATGCTCAGCCTCAAACCCCTGTCGCCGTGCCTGTTACAGTCTCCTTGCAGGATGGACCAATGAGGAACTGTGTTGCTCCCGAGAAAGGGGATGCACAGATAAAGGAGAGCATGTTGACTGAGGGCTCAGGGCTTGCTGCTGCAGTGGAAAAGGGAGGTGGGAATGGGAGAGGCACGGAGATGATACTGTTTGGAACCACGGGCAGGGGAGCACTCGTAGTTAGAGGTCACGGGAGAGGGATGGCGAGACCTTCGATTACGTCGAAAGTGGAAGTTAACGTTGAAATAAAAGGGGGTGTTGTCATCAGTTCTAAAGCGGATGCCTTAAATCAGTCAGTGTTAGTGCAGGGGGAAAACCAAAGTGTACAGATGCACCATGGAGACCAGATTTACCCCAGCTCAGTCATCTGTCCACTGGGCAATGGAGACACAGTAAACCTGTCTGACACTGAAGGAGAGCTGGAGGAGGACGACAACATGATTGTGTGTGAACCTGGAAATGGGCTGCTGTCCATCTTAGGGCAGTCAGGTCATGCTTCAAGATCACAGCCTCCCCAGGACCTTGACTCTAAAATGCAAGTGGACCAAATCCCAGATGGAACAGACCAAGTTTCTTTTCCAGTAACACTGTCCAATGGAAATGTCACCACACTAACAGACCCTGGCCACACTATGGAGGTGGAAACTGCTCATCCGGTTTCCTCTCCAAGTCACTGTCCTATCACAGTGGGCAGCGTGCAGCACGGCCGGCCATTAAGAGACCACAGGCTGTACTGTTGTACTGGTACGTGGGAGAAAGATGAGATGGAAGAAATGATGGATATGAATCGGTCACAAGAAACAGAAATGGATGAAAAGATGCAGAGCGAAGAAACCCGGGAGCAGCTTACTGATATGATCCACGGTAAGACGTGTTTGGTAGCGCACGGTGCCGCTGAATGCTTCTACATGAATATATTCTGCATCCCTACTGTTCAGTCAAATGAAACACGGTCAGTGATTGATGTTTTTACACATGAGCTCAAAGAAGCAACTGCAGAGGATATCAGCACTTTTTCTGTCACATGACATCCATAAAACATTCATGGCCTTGTCCATGAAACATTAATACACACAAACTTGATCTAAACTCATGTTTGGGCACAACTCAGAACATTCATGGGTATCTTTTTATTTCCAAAAACACGTAATTTACAAGATAAGAACTAAATTTGTGTTGCTGTGACTGCTTGCAAACTGAGTCTTTTCATATTTCGTTGTTTGTTCTTTGTGTACAAAATTGGATAACAGCATAATTAAAATAGAAAAGAAATCCCATGTGGGAAGGAATCAAACAGTTCTGTCAAGTATAGTACAAAACCTCTCTGTAGGTCATGTTATGTGTGCATGCTGTGAGGAATTCATCTGTCCCTGCTTGCATTAATACCAAGCCTGAAATCCTGAGGATATATTGAACAGGATAAATTAATCTAGATGAAGATGAATGTCAGTGTACCAAGATGTCAGTGGATGTCAGCACATTTGCATTTTTCATGAATCAAATTATTTCTTCCTCTTGATTCGTTGAGGTAACATAAGTAATTGAGGCCTGCATGGTTTTGTCTTCACAGAATAAAGCTTTGTGGTTTTGTTCAACACTTTTTCTGCATCACTACTGTTTGCAGATATAAACAACACTGCAGCTCCAACAAAGACACTAAGTGTGCCTCTGACAGGTGGTTTAAGGTGTGCAAATATCAGCAGCTATTTGCACACCTACGCAAATCGAGCACTGCCTGTGTTTAGAAGTGCACAGACCTGCATTTGATAAAGTCACAATTCTGTCAGCAGTGGATGAACGAATCGATGAACATCACTCATTTAATGGTTCATGTAATCAAGTTATAATGATTTCCTCTGTTTTAGAGTTTCTGGAGAGCTTCTATATCAAATATGGCAGTTTCATTCCTCTCAGTGAATATGATGTCCTGGAGCACCTGAAGAAGAAAGGCAACTCTGACCTCAAAAACAGGTCAGTACATACATGCACACAGTGCTGCTTGAATACTGATGAGGAATCTACCAGTGTTTTCACACTCCTGGATCTATTACACAAGCAGAAGAGCAGGAATAACCCTCAGAGCTGCAGTCTCACAGCTATGAGACCTGATTCACACAGGACCTGATGTTAGGGCTGCACAATTAATCGAATTTTAATCACGATCACGATATTGGCTTCCTGCGATTAAAGTTGCGTGATCGAGCAGTATTTAAAATGTGTAACGCTGTGTGCGCACCAGACACGAGTAAAATCATTCGCGCTAATGATATACATGTAAAGTCAATGTGAAGACGCGAGTAAACGTCCCGCGGCGCGACTGACGCGAATTGAGCGAGTTATTCGCGCGTATGTTGCGATTCTAGCCGCGCTAAGAGCAAGTTGAAAAATCCGTGATGGCCAATCAGCGTTGAGATTCTCCGGTGAAATCAACAACATGATTCATTCAGTTTTTTACAACTACACCATGATTACTGATTGATTTACTCACCCCAAGAGACAAGTAGCCACATTATAGGCCGAGGCAGACCTCAGTGCTCAGCAGACAGGCTGTCCCTCTCCTCCAGTTCACACACAAGAATGCTACTGTTCAACTTAGCAAGCAGCGCCTGTAGTTAGTAATAAGTCTGTAAAACAATCAAATTAGTTTTGGTTAAAATCAACAAATAATCGTGATAATTAATCGTGATTTCAATATTTAGCAAAATGATCGTGATGATCATTTTGGCCATAATCATGCAGCCCTACCTGATGTGACGTAGAAACTATCCCCCCACATCTGTGTGATGTGCAGCACATTCGCACACAATAAGTCCAGTGAAAGAGAAAACAAAAGTCCTTGCAAAGAAATTACCCGCCAAGATGTCGACTCAGACGAGGTTAATGTTATCACAGGACCTCAGCAAATTACTGTGTCTCATTGGTAGTGACATTTTTTTTACTTTATAAATCACAGATATGACAGATTCACACTGGATTAAGATCACAGGGGACCTCTGCAATTATTAGAAATTACAAGAGGTCTCCTGGTGTTACTCGTCCTGTGCGCTTAGGCCTTAAAACCATAATTACTGTGTGCTCAGACTGTGGTTGTTTGGGTCATTCTGTGTGTTACTGTGAAAGCTTTTATCGTCTGTGCAAAGATTAAATCGCTGCTGTGTCCATTCGTCAAGGACAAAAGAAGACCCACATTTTCTTGCAAAGTTGCATCAAATCAGTTTTCACATTAGTCTTATGTTGCAATCGCACAAATCAGTCTGGAGGCAGAAATGCCGATATTGACATCACACAGCATCACTTCCATTCTGTTAAAGCCTCTTATTCCTCTTTGTTTGCCTCCAGCTCTGCAGCATCTCCCGTGTTAACTCAACCCGTCCTCCTCCCTTAAATATCACTGAAGATAGAATAAACAGTTGATGTTCATTTTTAAAACTTTTTCCTTTCCGTTTATCCGTTTTGTGTCTGTTTTAGTGGACTGGACATCAAAAGGGAGATGACTCGGTACCGGACGGGGCTGGCCTCTGCTCCCATCGCAGGCTTCATGGTCATGTACAATAAACACACTCTGAGCCTGGAGGACCTCGGCACGCTGGAGGAGCAGAACTGGCTTAATGACCAGGTAAAGGGAGAGCAGGAGGGTCGATGCAGAAGCCTTCTCGCTGCCGTCACAGCTGTTCTCACTCTGTCTGCCGACGAGGACGTCTCTGTTATATTTCTACTCTAATGGCATGTATAGAGTGAGACGTTGCAGGTTTAAAAGTCGAATGACCTCCTCGCTTTGTGTTCTGACTCTTCAGATTATCAACATGTATGGAGAACTCATTATGGAAGCGACGGAGCACAAGGTGAGATATATCGTGCAAATGTTGTCATAAAAAAAGTGTTTGTAACAAAGAGCTCACTGTAGGAATGTACACATATGATAGCTTAGTTTATCACCTTCCTCTGGATTTTCTTGGGTGTCTAAAAGGTTTGAACATTTCTTTCCCTCAGGTTCATTTTTTCAACAGTTTTTTCCACAAGCAGCTGGTTGCCAAAGGTTATGATGGTGTGAAGAGATGGACTAAAAAAGTAAGGAGGACCATGGAAGCAGTCTTTTAGTTTTGACCGGAGTGCTGGTAGCTGCAGCTGGAAGTTGCACGACGCTTCTGACTTTTATTTTATTTCGTGAGTCATAGCTGTATTCTGGCTGCTGCAAGAAACCAGATTTAGTTTGCCGTCAACCTTTCTGTGTGGTCTGGTTGCCCTCATTGGCAACTGTAGTCTAAACTCAGTGTTTAAAGCAAATACAATAAAAGTAAGCCATGCAAAATATGTTCAGTAGCTCTTAAAACTGCCTTACTGTCAAACCTCACAAGGAAATGAAATCAAAAAGTTACACATGAATGCAGGTGAGCCTGTTTGTCATATCTATCGGTTCTTCATCACATATGAAATAATTATTTCCCAGCAGTGGGACACTAATGTGTACCGACTGTGAGCTGTTCTGTGTCACTCGTGGAAACACATCCAGTGTTTTTCTGTCTGGAATAAATTAGTGTTTTAATTTGTGGGATTATTTCAGGTCGACCTGTTCTCCAAGTGGCTGTTGCTAATTCCCATCCACTTAGAAATCCACTGGTCTCTCGTCACGGTCACCATGGCAACCAAAACCATCAGTTACTACGACAGCCAGGGGATCGTCTTCAGACACACCACAGACGTGAGTCCCTCCGTGCACGCTGGCGTCTTTGTAGTTTCAGATTCTGAATCGCTGCAGATGGGCTCTGATGAGACCAGATCGTCACTTATCTGGTTTGTTTGGGTTTTTGCAAATTGTTTGACAATCCGTTTCTAATGAGAAACTGCTTAAGAGAATCCATATCACAGTCCTCAGCCCTTCTAGAAGTCCTGGGATTTCATCATAAGGCTGCAATGAACCAGAACAAAGCAGCAGGATTATATTTGCTTTTGATTTCTAAATTAGTAGATCAAGACTTAGTAGATTAATAACGCTTGTAAAGTAATTTGTAATGTGATGAATTTGTTGTCTCGTTAACACTGACTGGGACGGTTTCACCTCCAGCATCAGAACAGCACTGTGACGTCACTCCTCCTACCTGGCTGTGTGTTCTGCATATCCATGTATAAAGATCCGTACAACCACAGAAACATCAGAACCGGGTGCCACAAATTCTTTTTTTATTTTAAGTCATTGTTTTTGGCCTTTTTGCCTTTATTGGATAAGACAGTTGAAAGAGAGACAGGGAAGTGGGGGAGGAGAGTGGGGGAAGGGGTTGCAGCAAAGGGCTACGAGCGGGATTCGAACCCATAACCGCTGCATCGGAGACTGTAGCCCCTGTACATGGGTCGCCAGCTCAACCAGGTGAGCTAAAGCGGCGGCCCGTGTGCCACAAATGCTTGAGCTCAAGTGCCAGAGTAAGAATAATGGTCCTCGTACTTAGATGTGGAGCATTTTTACCTGCTGGACAAACATGTTCCTGTCGGCATAAAATCAACAACCAGTTGACTGGACACCTGCCCCCATGAGGTGATCTCCTAACAGACACTATGAAGCAGGATGTCGCTGCATTTAACCCAAACAGCTTTGTAGAAAAACATGCGGTTTAACATCTCAGGCCAGTGACATGGCAGCTGGTTCACACCGAGCTATAGCATTTCCTCTAAGCTGAGAAGAGTCCACTTCAGTCCTGGTAAAACTGTTCCAGTACTTGTACGGTCCACTTGGTTTTCTGTAGCCTAAGGGGACATTTAAGCTGTTGTGAGTATTTGTAGTGGACGTTTTGAAATGACTGCCTGGTGGTGTGGGTGGAGTGTTGCTGTTTGCACCGTCATCATGGCAGCATCACTCTGTGTGTCACCAGAACATTATGAAGTACCTTCAGTCCGAAGCCAGAGAGAAGAAACAGACGGCTTTCCAGAAAGGCTGGAAGATTACCATCATCAAGGTAATCCTGATGCCGACTGTAGTTATTATCCTGCGCTCACCTTGTGCCCTGAAAACACAGAGTCTGGCTCTGCTGCCATTAGTCACAGAGAGGAGCCTGATTTTTAACAGGAGATCCAAGAATTACAGAATTGCTCATCCATCAATCGACCACATTTTTACAATAAGCAAGCTTAGAAACCATCGACTTTCTACCTGTCTATATTTTATGTGTTGTGTTCAGGAGACACCTTTGATCTGCAAAACAATGTCGTTGCATGCATGTGAATATGTAGAGACGTAGAGACGAGCACTGTTCAGTCCAGAATCTGTAACTGTGGCACCTTGTCTGGCTCCTGCTTCACTGTGATTGTGACTCTTTAGGGGATTCCTCAGCAGAAAAATGACAGCGACTGTGGAGTTTTTGTCCTTGAGGTGAGACCTTTTTTGTGGTTTTTTTGTCTCTTGCCTGTCCCCGTTTCCCCCGCCTTACTCGTCTTATTTCCTGACAGAGAAAGAAATGTCTTTGTGCACAACGGTTTCCACACAGAAACCTTTGGTGTCGACACAGACTTGATTTGAAAAGCTTTCGATGTGTGCTCACCGTTAACGTGGAGGCTTTACACCGCTGTCCGTCTCTTCTGTTTGTCAGTACTGCCGCCGTCTCTCGGTGAAGCAGCCTCTGCAGTTCAGTCAGGAGGACATGCCTCGCATTCGCAAGAGAATCTACAAGGAGCTGTGTGACTGTCGCCTCAACGACTGAAGGGCAGGACGGCGGTCGCCTTCACTCCCTGGCTGCTTTCCTGGTTACGTGAGACGGTCCCTCCAGGTCTGTCAGACGGGCCGTTTCACTGACAGCCGGCTACATAAGCTAACACAACCTGGCCTTCTGTATTCCAGGGAGCCCTCACCACCAACCTGCCTGACTGACAGCACAGTGGCCATCACTTGGGACTTTTACTGACTTCTGGAGTTCAATAGCAGATTTTTACTTGCAGAGAACTACTGACGTGGCGCCCTACTGACCCTCAACAGTGCTGGACCTGGACACTTCAGGTTGTTTTTGCTTTCTACGTTCACCATCCTGAGAGGCTATTGAGCAAACAGCCCCCTTTACGGACACAACGGAGCGCTGACTTTGACTTAGGAAACTAGTGTTACACCAACCCGGACCAATGGGACGGACATCCAGCCCAGACGGAGTGGCCTTACCTCGTAGATGGCCATTTTAAACGGACATTTTTAGCAGTTCATTTAATGCTGGACTCTACAGCAGTATCATACTTACGGTTATATGCATGTTTGATAACATGTTAATAAAGCAGTGGACCAGCTGTTCACTTTAAACTTGAAGGTTTGAGTCGGGTTCTCTGGGACGACAGATGTTTGCACGGTTAGAGGCCGATCCATTGAAGTCTAGAATATCACCTGAATGTAATGATGCGATGTTTTCTTCTTCTGGCCGTGCGGTCTAACGGCCTCAGGTGGGAAATAGTATTTTTGCAAGGTAGTTTTTGTTCCATGTATCAGGTTTTTGACACCTTATTATAATTAATTTCTTAATAAAATTCCAGTTTTCCCATGACATTATGTACTTTTTTCCTTTTTTTTTTTTGGTTTTTGCTGTGACCACATTCTAACAGTAGAATTTGAACAAGCATTCTTCTTCAGCCAATCGATTATTTGATGTTACTTTAACATTTCAACCCGTCAGTTTTTCAGGCTGTACAGCGAGCTGCTGCTATGAGGACCACCGTTTGGGATTTTGAGCTGGGGGATGCATTAACACGGGCGTGGAGGGTCGTGGCCTCCTAACAGAGAAACAAGTGGACCTCAGCTGTTTTGGTTAAATCTTCTGTCCGACCTTGGTTTTGTTGTTCTATTCACTTCTATGTATTTACAGATTGTATTGTACCCTGACTGGCCTACTGCTGTATGTGCTTGCTTTGGCTAAAAACCACCACGGTTTTCTGGACTGTTTTTATTGTTGTTATTAAAAGGCCAGTACTGCTGGGACTTGTGCTGCAGTATTTCTTCTAATTAGTTTTAAACAAACAAAATGCTGAACTGATACAGAAACATGATGACATGATGGGAAGAGAAAAAAAAAATCCTCTAAACCGTGTGCACAGATTGAAACGTGATGCCAGGAGCAGCTGTTTTTCTATCAGATGCCCTTGAGATATAAAAAGAAATGAATGTCCTGCCAGATGTAGGAAAAGGAATTGATATTCTGATGTCAATAAACCTCAGGGGGAATATACAGTACGCTATTTTTATTTATTTTTTTATCAATATTTGGATGAACTTCAAGCTAAATTTCCTGATGACAGGGTGACTTCAAAGGAAGTCTTATCTTTTTATCAATCCTTTCAGACAACCTCAACACCTTCCTAGTTAAAAACAGCTTTTGCATAAAGGGGGGTGATTAAAAACCTCGGGCATTTATTAGCTAAAAATACTTTGGAAAAGATGAAGGTACGAATGAAGTGCTGCATTACCGTCTAAACACCAGCAGAGGGCGTTCTAGATCAGCAATTATCCTTTTGGAGAGCTTCTGTTTTGCAGCAGCTCTGGAGTTGGACGGAGGTCGAGTGTCTTTCTCGAGGGCGCTCCAGGCAGGGAGTCCCGCTGCCTGACCCGGGCCTGCCACAGTTTTCTAATCATGATTACGTCGGCGCTTTACGTACGTTACTGTCACAATTAGAATGACACAGGCCTGTCAATGAGAGCTGATGATGGGCGTTGTGTAAATGCAGGTTCCAGTTGGAGGTCACTGCCGGTCCTTTATCGTTTCAGTGTAAAACGTAAAAGCCGGGCTGTCTGACTGGCACTGGATCGTTCAGCTGTGTTCTGCACTTCCCACAGCGTTGTGCTTTTGTTCATAGAGTCACTGAAGAACTCCCAGGCAGCCTCTTCCATTATCGGCCCATTGGCTCTGCTTTAATGCCACCTTACGTTGGTCTGAAACTTGACTATATCCCGCAAAGTCGGAGCCTCGTGGCTTCATTTTAGTGCACGAATGAGAGACGGTGTAATGCTGGCACGTTAGCGTTAAAGAGCAGAGCTGCATGAAGGATGTTGAACTGCTGGCGGTTGGTTTGCAGCTGTTGAGGGAGTTTTCACACGTCCTGGTGGTTGCAGTTTCCATCCTCCCCCCCTCTGCTGATGCTGCTGCAGCCTGTGAACTCATCCGTAGATCAGTGTCCCAGCTGCAGACATCACACCCTCAGTCTCTGATCATCATCTCAGGAGACTTGAACCATACATCGCTCTCTATCACTCTCCTCACATTCAGCCAGCATGCAGACTGCCCAGCCGGAGACGATGCACACAACTTAATTATTATTTTCTTGTACTTTCTTTCTATATTTTTGGATGCTGCTGTGGCGTGTAAATTTCATAGGTCTGGGATAAATAAAGTATTCTCTTCTCTTCTCTTCTCTTCTCTTCTCTTCTCTTCTCTTCTCTTCTCTTCTCTTCTAAGTAGAAATATATGTGAAATCTAAAGGGCTATTCCGTCTGAATTTTGATGTGATATTTCAATTGTGACCTCAAAGCTGCTGTGGGTTGGCTTTTTAACATTTTAACTGGAAGCCACCATGAACCTGGTAAAACAGCAAATGTTAGGACACCATAAACATAACTTAGGGTAAAACGTGTTACTCATTCCTCTTCCCTCTAATGTGCTGTACGTCTTTAATCCGCTAACTCTCACAATCTGCTTCTGGTTTGATCATTTAATTGTAAAAATTTTCTTAGCAGTCTGGCAAAAATGTTCTGGTTCCAGCTGTTGTGTTTTTAATGAAGCATTCTTGGGTTTTGGACAACTAGATCAGATGAAAAAAATAATAATAAAAAAGGAATTTAGCGATGTACCATTAATTTAGCTCTAGGACACTTTAGAGATAAATCATAAAATCATCACCAGTAAAAAGGAGACTGACCAACTTTTACATTAGTTGCTCTGTTTGGCAGGAGAAAAAAACACAAAACAAATATCCCCCAGATAAAAACTTTGTCTTTGCAGTGAGCCCAGAAGTAAAAGTTAACAAATTAAATCCACAACAAGCTCAACATCAGTTCCCTATAAAATGTTCTGTTAGCAGCACATCAGCCTCAGACAGATCGAATCACGGCCAGCTGAGCAGAAAAACGTCATCACAAATCGACAAAAACAAAACATCGCTAATGTAAATACAACCCACACATCATTCAAGATTCAGATTCAAGATTCAAGATTCAAGAGTTTTATTGTCATATGCACAGCAAAACAGGTAGTTGTACTACCCAATGAAATTCTTACTCTGTTCAATCTTCTGAAAAAGACGACACATTAAAAATAAATAAAACAAGCCAATAAGAACAACAATAAACAATTAAAAACAACAATAAAGTGTTTCAGTGTTACGAATGTGTGCGTGTATTGCGTGCAGCGTGTGAGCGATTCGTTGAGAAGCCTGAGGGCCTGTGGGTAGAAGCTGTTTGCCAGCCTTGTAGTCCTGGCCTTCACACTCTTGTAACGTTTGCCTGATGGCAGGAGTGTGAAGAGTGAGTGTTGCGGATGTGTGCTGGACATGATCCAGTGTGTTCGCTCATGGGGTTGCAAAATCCACATGTTGGTGAAAGTGGGGTAGAACTGTCTTCATGTTTGCCTGGTTAAGATCCCCAGCAACAATGGATGCTCCCTCTGAGTGAGTGGTTTGCAGATGGTTTCTGTCGTGGCAGAGCGTGTCCATGGCTGCTTTGGTGTCTGCGTTCGGGGGGATGTAGACCGCCACCATGAAACTGAAAGAGAATTCCTGTGGGAGGTAGAAGGGCCGGCATTTAACTGCCAAAACCTCAATGTGTGGAGAACAGTGTGTGTGAGTGTTTTTTGAGTCCGTGCACCATCTGTTGTTTGACCTGACCATCACATGAACATTCACAGGTTAGCTCCTCCTGATGTCTTTGTGAATCTGATAGAAACATAAATGAAACTGCCAGTCAGTTATTATCAGTTTTATTCATGAAGCATGTTTCAGTGACTCCTACCAGGAAAAAGTTCATGAGCAGGTAGTGTCAGACTTTCACTGCACCTACCTTCTTCAATATTAAATGTTTTGTTGTTCTAGTAAAAAGTTCCACAAGTGCAGATTGTGTGGAGAGTGAACTCCTTTGGTAACCAGCAGCCAACCATGTGTGTAACTGGAAAGCGTGATGCTGACACAAAGGTGTTCAGTGTCGATGCTAGCCGAGGCAGCTAGCTTGATGTAGTACTGACACACAGCTGATGTAATGACATTTGATGTTGTTTCTGATCAGTTGGTCACAGTTTGAATGGACTTTGATGG